GCTCTTGCAGCGTACGCACTGCCTGCTGCTGGCCTCTGCACTGTGCTTCTCGGCTCCCTTCACCAGATGGAGCTGCTCCCGGGAACGGGGAATAAAGCGGCGGTGAGACAGGAGCTCGGCTTCGGCAGAGCAGGCCCTCTTCAGCGGTGGGAAGCAGATGAACCTGTCCCCGGACAAGCCTCCTCGGGCTGGGCTGACGCAAGCGCTGGCAGCACCAGCTCTGTGAAATCCAAGGGCAGAGCTGGCGGGACTTCCACTGCCCTTCTCACCGTGCCCAGTGCTGCACAGCCTGCTGCTCGCCTCTAGGCACCTTCCCTAGGAACCACCGTGCCATCCCACAACCCTCTGCAAACACTCTACCCGTGATCAGCCAGCATAAAGGCTGCAAGGACTGCCGCTGCTCCACCAACACAGCAACTCTTCTTCCCCTGCAGATGCTTTCAAGCCCTCCTTTCAGTCTGCAAGAAAAGTTTTATCAGGCTGAAAACAGCCACAGCAGCATTATTTGTAAAAGCACAAAGCAAACTGTATGTGGGGCTTCACAAATTACAAGATGTGAGGGTTATGTTCAGTGTTTAGAGCTGAAAATGCCAAATGCTTCTCCACAGCTTGGAGAAACCAACCACAGTACACCATGAAATACAGTCCAGCGCACTGACACTTTGTTAGCTGAAGGTTTATGACAGAATCCCTTCTGCCACTCAGCAGAACAATCTACAGGTCTGGTTGCTTTCTGGGACTTCTCAGGGTGCAGAGTAAATGGCCTCCCCCTGAACCATCCCCTCTGCAGCCCTGTCCCTCTGCAAAACAACACAACAGGCTACGGACCTTCACCCCATCTTCTGAGGGACTGTGAAGAGCGCTGTGGCCACGCCTCTTGAACTACACATCCGAATTAAGTACTTTTACCCTGAAGAGACAGCGGCGGAACACTGATTTTAGCACTCTTTTTGTGTGTGGAGGCCTCCCAGAATCAAAGCCTGTTGTTGACTGCACGGGACCTTTGTGCTTTCTCTGCACTTTGTCCTAACCTTTGTGGCGTGGGTGCTCGACGTTTGCAAGCAGCGTCCGTGCCGGAAGGACGGCTGGATAACTGCCTGGCACGCAGTACCTCAGGGCTCCCACCATGAAATCCTCTGTGTTTGCTCAGCAGCCCTGGGGACCTCCGTCTTCCTTGGTGGAGGAGTAAATGAACACCTCCGAGCCCAATATCTGTCTCATCAAACCAGTCACTCCAAAGATCTCGTTGGGGACCTCCGTCTTCCTTGGTGGAGGAGTAAATGAACACCTCCGAGCCCAATATCTGTCTCAAACCAGTCACTCCACAGATCTCGTATCCGTATCACACTTCTTGGTAAAGCAGAAACAAACCGCACATAAACTAGATTAGTTGTGATTAAGTCAACAAATTGCTTCGTTTAGCTGGTAAACAAGAACCTAAATAATGTAACATCTTTGCTCATTACATGAGCCCAATTTAAGGTATTGCAGAGCCTCGTTACACCAAACAATCCATTAACTAACCATTAACTGCTGCCTTTGCCACGGCTGTCTCAGAGAATGCTTGCAGGTAGAGGTAGATGTCTGAGCTGCTGTGCCCTTCATTTCGCTTTCTTGCAAAACATACACTTGTTTCAGTGCTAAATCTCAGCAGGGTGTCAGAAGAACACTGACTACGTTACAGAATAAGGACATGCTGCTTCACCAACTGATCAGGTAATAAAATCCCCAAATGGCTGATTAGCCAGTGTCCCCCCTGTTATTTAAATACCTTGATTTAAGAGACTTAGAATTCATAAGACCACACTGGAGCAGCGATCCACTTTAAAACATCTGCAGCAGCAAGGACTGACAAAAGGGCACGATAAAACTGATGCATGCAGATACAAGGCAACTTGGCCTAGGGCATGGAAGCTGTCCCTAGCAGAGAGCCCGAGGTTTCCTTTCCAATACCTGCATTAACATCAACAAGGCTGAGTATTGCGACAGCCTCAGCCTTCACCCATCCAGGTCTGTTCAGAAAAGTGCTTCCTTTTATCCACTTTGCATTTCTCATTTTCATGGCATGAAGCAGAAGAAAAGATTCTGTACTTCCTTCCCTAGGCCGCAGGTTATCGGAGATACGTTTGGATTTCTGGTTCCCTAGCTTATTTGTTAAAGATGACGCAACGACTGGAAGCTCTAACCCACCCCTCCAATCAGAGGCTCATTTCTGCAAGCTTAATTCCACCTCAGGCTTGTCCAAGTGCAGCTTTACCCCTCCATCTCTACCTGCCTTTTGTCCGTCTCCTGCGCCCCCGCTTCCTGCAGCCAAGCGGCAGGAGGATGCTGCAATGCTGCACAAAGCTGAGGGCGTAACCCTCTCTCTGCTGCAGCCTGGCGCAGGACAGGACCCAGCGTGCAGGGGGACCGCTCCCCGCCTGCGCCAAGCTTTGCTGGACAGGCAGGTGCACCCGCATCCAAGGGCTAAAGCTCCTCAGTTCCTTACTGGAGCCTCGGGACAGCCCAGTCCTCGTTACAGATTGTTTACAAGGCAGGAGAGATCTGCTGGGTGATACAGGGCTGTTGCAGGGAGGAGTGGTGTTTGCAGTCATTTTAACTCCTCCCAAACACAGCAAACTTGTTATTTTGTGGCTTCACAGACACTGATTTTGGATGACTGCAACGGTGAGAAGAAAGCTCGGCAAAGAGAGCAAAGAGAACTGAGCAGCCCAAGCTCTGGCAGCAGTAATGCTGCTTGCCCCTGCTAAAACAGCAGCCACGCTCCCTCAGCCAGCAGCGGCAGCTATTAGCTCCGTGAACATTTCCTACAATTTCCTCTAAACTGCCAGCACGCTCCTAGCCCTAAATTAAGCACCAACAATGAGCAGACAAATCCAGGGTTACCACTAGGCACGGCAGCGTGGCAGAGCTGCGGAGCGGCACTGACTGCACCGCAGCCCAGCACCGGTCACCAGCCGGCTGCAGGAGACTCGCACGGGTGCTGAAGCTTTGGGGTCTGTAAGGGATTCTCCGTTCCCATCTCAAAGGGTCCAAAACCGTGTCTGTAAAACCTTAGCACACAGAACCGCAAAGCTCTGCAGATCTGTCCTCACTGAGAACACACCCCTAACATTTTCAAGTGGGTTTTCTTGAGACATGTGACCTTGCCGGCTGTGGCTGCTACCAGATGGAGCTGTCCTAGAAACAGAACGAGGCAGTTTTCAAAGGGGTGGAGGGAAGGGAGGAAGTTGCTAAAACAGCAAGACTTTGGAGAAGGAACTGAGGTGGTGCAATCCGGTGGACTAGACAGCGAACGTTTCCCTCTCAGCAGGTACATTTGGGAATGCTTAGGTAGGATATCCCTGCACGAGGACATCAGGTTAAAATTCCAAGTCTTGCTCTGCTTACAACTGAAATTCATTCCTGGCAGAGACCCGCAGTCACCTGACAGAGACGAACGCAGTCCTTTACCGGCGCGAGACAATCCCTGCAGGAACACGCCTGTAACGGAGGCCACCACATGTTACAGACCTGCTTTTCTCAACTGGTGAGGCACAAAGAGATGCTACAGGGCCTGGAAGGGAGAGACCCAGCAGACCCAGGGGCCAAGAGCAGCACAAAAATCTGAGGACCAGGGCCATGGGGTCAGAGTGAGACAGGGGGACCTTTCTAGAAAGCACTGGGGTGACAACTGCTACAGATCACACGAGGGACATGCTGCTTCGGCTTTGGCGGGTCCTAGTGAGTACAGAAAACAAAACAATGACTTGCCTCAATCCTTGCAGGTAAGTTTTTTTGCACCTTTGCATTCCTGAAAGGTAGGAAAACGTTCTGAATGAGACTTGTTCAAGCAATCGTTCTGTGCAGTCTGTTTCTTCACGAGGTTATAAATAAACCCTTCACTGAGGTAAGGAGCTTTAGGCACTACGGAGAAGGCAAACCTATTAAATGAGATTGGAGTAGTGCTGCTCTCTCCCTTCTCAGAGTGCAGTATTGCTGCAGTTAAAAGCCTCCTAGTTAAGACTCATTTAGTCGCATTAGAGATGCACAGGCAGCCAGGAAGGGGGTTATAAAAAGCCAAATCCCTAACACATCTAATTGGGGATGACGTCAAATGCACCCTGTCTGCAGTGTGGGCAAACGGATCTCGTAACCAAGCTGCCAAAGAAGGGGACAGCTTCCACGGTCACAGGGCACGCGTCGTAAGGGCGTCTTGATGGAGTCAGAGGCTACGCATCCACTGTGATCTCGAAAGGGAAAGGTGAGAGCAAGACAGGAACGACACCCTACCTGGGGCTGAGCGAGACCTCATTAAAGAATCGGAGTTACACAGCAGTCAGAAAAATGCAAGAGTCAGGTGTGACAGGAATAGCAAAGCCTCTGCATTACGGTTTGAGAATCTTTGAGTTGATGACTGTGTTGCCCACTGACGATCACTAACTTCCCCATGGCAACTGCAACTGCTTGTTCTTCAGAGAAACAGGAGTATAAAATAACTGAGCAGCCTCCAACAGCAAGCGCTTTTGTCCCACATGAAAAACATCAGACCGTGTGCTTTCTGCCACATCTCCCTGGGCCTGCTACCGTCAGCCTTCACTCACACACTGCTGCCTGCCTCACTCTCCACTCTCCTGAGAGCAGTCCACAGCCTCACTCTCACGCCTGACACTGGCCCACGAGGGAATTTACCAGTTTGCCACCTTTGCATTAAGAAAACACCAAAACTGAGCCTTGGCCTTCCACGCTGGACAACAGCCACAAACAGGAGCAATCAAAATAGAGAGAAAGAGCAGCTCCACCTTGCCTCAGTACCCACTGGTGAGCACAATACGTCGATTGCTCCTGCTAAGCAATTTGTCACCAGTAAGGAACACTCAGAAGCAGGGCTGCAGAAAGGAGGACAGACAAGCGCTACGGCACTGCCACAACCTAGTGGGAGTAGGGGGAGATAGAATCAGCAATGGGAGGTTCTCACCTCCCCAGCATCTCCCAGTGAGTGAGGTGAAAGGGAATGTCTGTGAGCTACCATGTAACACTGCTGACTTAAGGAGGTGACAGAATTCCTTCCCAAAGGTCAGGATGAAACCAGACTCCCAACTTTTCCACTAGTGAGAAATGCACACAGAACCTGAGAAGCGCACCAGACAAGGTACTGGGAGAAAAGCTACTAGTCATTCCTAAAAGGGAAGGAAGGAGAAGTGAATTTTCCTATGGGGGCAGGTGGGGAGCAGATAAATTGGTGATTTCTCATCAAATCCTGAGGTTACAGCCTCATGAACCAGAGTTCAGCTGAAGACAAGACACTTCCATCAGGCAGGCTTGGGAATCCACGGGACTGTGCTGCTACTCAGCTTACCCTGATCCTTCACGGGACAAAGGCTAGCAATGAGAGGAGGGAATAACACTCTCCTGTTACCAAAGGGAGGTACCTGGATCGTGATGGTCCCCTTTCCGCTGTCTGTCTGCAGATGGATCTCCATCTCTGGCAAGGCCTTTCCCTCTGCCATCAGCCGATGACGCAGCTTCTCCAGCGCATCGCTGCCATTGGAGATCAGCTCCCGAATAAATACCTGGGGACAAGACACAACCCAACACTGCAGCCTGGCCTCACCCATGCACTGAACTCCCAGAGACCTGGGAACTCAGTGCCTGCTCACACACTAATTCCCAGCTCGCTAGAAAAGGAACTGTGTTTCCTCATTATCTGCCAAGAGAAGAGCTTGTCTGAACTCAATAGTGAAGTGCAGAGGCTCTGCAGCTCACATTTTCAAGGTGTCTTAAGAAAAAGGCACTCAAGAAAGCATGGCATGTGAAGAGCACGGGACATGCTGGGAAACTGAGTGAGTATTCTCCCGGCTCGGCCATTTAGGATGTACCCCTTGACAGACAGGGCTTCGCCAACAGAAAATCTACCAGCAAGGAGCAGGTGTCTTACCTCCTTCTCCGAGTACAAGGAACAGGCAACGATGTCCAGCAGTTTCTTTGTTTCAGCCTGAAACTCATGTTTAGAGGCTGCACCTAGAATAAAATCACAAACACACCTTTAAGGTACTTTGCCAGGGCCCTCTTGGGAAGGAAGGCAAAACTGCAGTCTTATCATATGCTTCAGCTTGCCAGGAGTGAAAGCCTGAAGCAGGACAGGACACACAGGTAGTTCCCACCCCCCTATGAAGCAGCACACTTTACCAGGCAGACACTTGGCCTCTGCGCCTCAGCTCCTGGTGCACAAACCTCAAGGCAGTCAGCCTGCAGTACTGGCACACCGGTCACCACGCCTGGGCTGCAGAGCAATCAGTACGCGAGAAGCGAAAGGTGGCTCCCCTTGCCCCAGATGCGTGGCTCCATGCACTCCCCAACTGCCCTCTCAAAAGCCTCCAGTGGTTTATAGCCTCCAGACTCTTCCCTGACTCCATTTCTGCAGAAACCATCTCTACAGGCCCGTCTCCAAGAGCTTCTACAGCCAGGCAGCGTTTCTCATGCCTAAACAGTATTTGGAGCCTTGAGCAGAAAAAGGCAGATTCTCAAACGTCTCTGTGGAGCAGGCAAGGGAGTGCATAGGTACAGCCACCTTTGCAGGTAGGCAGCTGTGCCCTGAAAGAGAATTTTCCTCAGAAAGGATAACACTACAAACCATCCCAGCTGGAAGACCATCCCCGGCCTTTCAAAAACAGCATCTCTCCTGCTAGGGGCACTAGGGAACCCTGCAGCAACGCAGGGGAGCCAGGGGTCACACATCACCTCTGCCTGGCCCTGGCAAGGACCCGCATTCCCCAGTGACGGGGGCGAAGCCAGGGTGTGGCAGCAGGAGCAACGCATCAACCCCACTGGTGGCTCTGTAGCCCGGCAGTCTCTAAAGTACCTGCCAGAAAAGCCACGGGAGCACGGAGATAGGATGCTATTTCTGTGCTTGAATAACTCATGTGACTTTGCTTTAAAGCACCTCTCCCTGGAGGTGTGCAAAGCAATTCATTCTAACTAAAAGGCTGACACCACTCATTAGACCTCCATGATCCAAAGCGATGACCTTGACAGCTGGTCATTTTGTCCCAGCTTGCTTCTGGGACAAAAAGTCTCTTTTTAGGCAAATTCTAGTGCCTGCAGAGCCTCTACAAACATGCACGACCATCGACTGCCTGGCTAAGTCTACAGATGCAACTTCTCCCTGCAGCCTTGACGGCCTTTCTCCGTGAAGAATTTACACGCTCCCGTTGTGGGGAGGTGAAGAACAGATCCAAAGTGCAGCCTGCAGCTAGGATGTGATGAGGAGGACGAGCACCTCCTCGTGAGGCAGAAACACTGCTGCAGAGAGCTCACCCCCATCGTCAGGGCACCGCTGCACCCAGACACTGCCCCGGGTCTGCCTGCACCCCAGGAGTGCTCCGACAAGATGCTTCTGCTCGCGCCCACCTTTCACGTTCTCTGTGTTGCTGATGATGGTGTGCAGGGGTTCTTCTTCCTTGTTCTCCGCCGTCTGTGTGCTGTAAGTCCGGACAGCGGAAATGCCGGTGGCAGGAACGTTGTACTGGAAGCTCCAACGACGGACTATTTGTCTTTGGAGACACGTCGCTCCTTTTGCTAGAAGACACAATTCAAGATATTTCAGCAGAAATCACAAGCAGCAGCAACAACAGCAGCACTTTTCAAAGGTCCCACTTCAGCAACCCCGTGGGGAGTTGTCCCAGCAAGCCTGCAGTTCCCTCCATCAAACACCCACCACTTCCCTCCGGCACTGCCTCCACTGCGTCAGAAAGGTAAGGTGCTGCTTCCAACTGTCTCTTCCGAATGAAAAGTCCAGCCAGAAGATGACAATTAGTAGCTTTCACAATGAATTAACTGGTGGGAAAGAGGCAGCCTGCAACTTTCATTGCTGTGACCTGGCCAAGATGAAGACAACGGGGACACGTCAACTCCCACGTTAACCCCAGTGAAAACCCAAAACCCCGGTGCAAGGCAGCCTGCACCTCCAGGAGACGCCTCCGCCGCACACGCAGCCTCTCTGGGTGCTGTCCTAACTCCATCAGGCAGGTCTCTGGGCACCAAGATCTGTTTGCTCCTGCTCACTTTCACCCTGCCAACAGTAACTGGCTCCTTCACAAGCTCAATCCCACATCCAGAGGACTCCGGCCAGCCCTGCCTTGGCCAGCTGAGTGGGCACTTCATGGTGACAAACAGCCCTTGAGCGTCCGAGCGCAGTTAGCAGAGTACAGGGACTACATCCTCCAACAGAGCCAGCTCCGGGGTGAGCAGCACCTGCAGCAGCAAAGCCCCTGGCCAACAAAGCAATCAACGGGGAAGACAAGACAAGTCAGGAAACGAGCCCCGTTAAGGATTGGGATTCCCAGTTTTCCTCCTTCCACAGTGCCCAGGCGAACTGAACAGTCGTCTTTCTGTTGGGGGATGAAACAGCCCCCATAAAGACCCATTACAGCACCACAGAGCTCTGTCCAAAGGCAGTTACTTGGTGTGGTTCCCAAATTGCGGCGAGAACGGCCTGTGCCAGAGCAGGAGCCTGGGGGTGTGCGTACGGTCGGACGCAATCTCAAAGGTCTTTTCCACCAAAATGGTTCTACGATCTGAACGTGCAGCGGGGCTGGGGGCAGGCGGTGACCCGGCCTTCCCCAACCCTACAAGGAGCACTAACAGATGGGGCTGTTTGGGGAGACAGAGGAGCGACCAGGATGGCCTGGGCAGAGCGGGAGAATCCGGATAAGCAGCAAAAGCGGCCAGAAGCAGTGACAAGCCCCGGCTTCTCTACACTCACTCTGTGCTTGCAGCCTGTTTCATCAGGCACGGAAAGCAGCAAACCCTACACCCCAGGCCTGGAAGAGGCACGTTTTCAGGGTGTCCTTTCTTCAGATGAATGAACACAAAACTACCCAAGACCAAACTGAGAGCCATGAGGACTGAGGGAGTCCCCAAGTGTGACCTCCCTGGAACCAGCTGCTTTGGCTGCCCACAGCCCTCCAGGCAAGCGGACACGCTGGGAGCTCAGCTCCCTCCCGAACCTCCCTCCACCTTGCCACAGCCCTTGGGTGAACTCGGCACCCCAGCCCTTTCACCAACACCCCTCGTCACATTCTGCCTCGCGTGGGGAGGTCTCGGGCTTCCTTCACAAGTGCTCTGCAAACCTCCTGCCCCTTACTATGGTCACTGGGGTCATCGAGAACAGGTTTTGCTGCTCCGGAGCATCAGGCTGGGCTCTCACTCGCTCCAGATCAGGGGAACATAAACCCCTGAGCCTCAACAGTGCTTCCGGCTCCCGCACCTCATCCCCAAGAGCTGAGGCGAGGAGGCTGTCAGTCCTCAGCCCTCCCCCTCCTCCTCCTCACAGAAAGCTTTGAATCAAGATGCACTTCTCCAGCTCGATGCTTGAATTACTCCCCAGTCATTCTGCCCTTAAAGAGCCCACAAATAGTTCTCAATGCATCTTAACGCCTCCTACACACATAACTGTTGGCTCTCTGCGTCACAAACAGCTCTGCCGCATTATCACAGGACACGTTCTTTGTCTTTCATTCGCCTGCCTCGCTCGAGAAAGCAGGGAGGAAAACAGCCCAGGTGACTGAGGCGGAAAGCAGCGCAGAACTCGCTGTGTGGCCAGCCAGCCCGTCAAGCTTTGGAAAGGAAGGGCCTGAGTCAGCCCAGGGTTTACATGTTCCACTGACATGTCTACTCAGGGGTTACATATTCGACGCTCACTTTATGCTAGGTGGTGTAGGATACTCGGAAAAATCTGTACACACACACATTTCCCAGCCAGCAGACATAAAAGAGGGAACACTGCTCCCTCCCTGACTCCAGGATCCAAAACAGAAGCAGAGCAGCAGCAGCTCCGCGCTAACCTTACGGCCACGTGTGCCACCAGATCTCCAGCAGCAAGGCCCCGGAGCCAACGCACAGCTCACCCCCAGCCCACAAACACGTGCTGACTCTAGGAACGACAACGATTTATCATTTTTTCATGTACACACCCCGTCTCTAAAGCACAGTAATAACTCACCACTAATCAATTCAGAAATTATTTGTGGATTTGTGTAATCATCCTTAATTAACGGCCCGTCCTGCGGCAGGGAGAGACAAGGCTCATTAGATGCAAGCGGCAGCACCGTCGGAGCATTTGTTTCTTGCAGAGCCCGTGCCTGGGCAGCAGCGGGAAGGCTCCGGGCAATCTGGATATAAACCCACAATGATCAGCACCCAAAAGCTATTGAGAAAGTACCCACCGAGTCAGCAGGGTAAAGGGATGCTCAGAGCGAGCCCAAGAAACAAATTCCTAAGGCCAAGAGCCAAGGAAGGAATGGCTCCTGCCCCGGCTGAGCGCTGTGCTGTGCTGCGGGGCAAATCAGCTTTTCACACATCCCGATCTGCACCACAAAAGATGGCAGACACCCCCATTCCTCTCCAGCTTCCAGCTCTCCGGGAATCCCAAGTGATCCTGCACGTCTGACCACGGAGGACCTTGCACACGGGGAACATGCCACGGAAAAGGGAAGGACCGAGCACCGTGACGCCTCAGCGATTCCCGAACCCAACCAGCCCCCAGCAAACAGCCTCTTCTGGGAGAAGGAGCGCAGTGACCACTGAGCCCAGCCAAACGTCAGGGGGGAAGCGAGCAGCGCTCAAAGCCGCGCTCGGCTCGGAACGGAGAGAAGTGGGGTCAGCAGAAATGACCATCGCAGGTGGATCGCTGTGCAGCGCAAAGCCCGAGGATGCTCCTGCAGAAAGCACTGGCAACAAGATGCTTCCAGCTCAGGTCTCGCTAGGAGACAGGGCTCTCCGGCTGGGCACCAAACCCTGCACAGATCTAGGGAGAAGAGAGTCCCCGCCGGATGCGCTCGTGCCAACACCCCTCCCGCACTCAAACCCCGCACCAGCATGGTGAGAGCCAAGGGAGAACGATGCCACCGTCTGCAGGGCCAAAGGGGAGAGCCAGCTGTCCCCGCAGCCAGGATCTCCGCCAGCATTCCCGTGAAGGACACCACCTCCTGCTCCTCCTTTCCACCCCCTCGGCCTCCTGCTCCTTACTCTTCCCCTGAAGGACCCGAACGACAGGTGAAGGAGTCCAACTGGACAGCTTCCTTCTCAGGCACGGCGGCTAACAAGCCACTGGGGATTTCCGTGGTGCAGGAACCGAATCGCCCAGAAACACCAAAGTGGCACTCGATGGCACAATAAAACCAACAATCTGACCCCAATAGCGACCCTATTTGTCACACGATTTCCTCTGTCACAGTTTCTTTTCATAACCTCCAGGGAAACC